TCTCTCTCTCTCTCTCTCTCTCTCTCTCTCTCTTTCTCTCTCTCTCTCCCTCTCTCTCTTTCCCTTTCTCTCGCACATGTCCTTCCACAGGCCTAATCACATCTGTCCCTTTGTTTTGATAAAACTCTTGTTAGTGGATTCTGTCGTGTGTCGTGACTTTTCCTTTGGGGCCAGAGCACTGCAAAAATCCTTTCAACATCTTCAGCAAGCAGAAGACAGAGAGGTACATTGGGAGTGGCAGGAGTCTTTTGAAACCTCAAAGTGTCCACCCAGTGACACACCTCCTCTAAGAAGGCCACACCTCCTAATCCTTCCCAAGCAATTCCACCAAGGAGGGACCAAGTATTCAAACATAAGAGCCCATGGAGACCATTCTCATTCAAATCAACACACCCTGTTTTAAAAAAAAAACAATGTGGAAGGCATCTAAAGAATGACAGCTAAGGTTATCCTCTGGCCTCCACACTCACAAACTCACACACACGCACACACACACACACACACACACACACACACACACACACACACACACAAGTACCCTTGCTGTGTTCCAACAGCCCGTCTTCGACCCTCCTTCTTACTAATCTCTTTCCCTCAATTCTCACAGGCATTTCATTCTACCCATTTTCCCTGGTGAGTAAACTGAGGCTCAGCATGAGCCCACAGACTCTCCAGCACCACTCCCATCTTCCTGTTTGCTTCTTATTAATTTTTATTTACATGCATTTTTGGTCATTTCAGTACCCACCTACTTCTATTCAGGAACCGGAAGATTCCTGAGGATGACGAGACCCACTGAACCACCAGACACACTCTCTCAAAGGCAGAATAAATACATGAAGAGCTGACTGGCTACCCTTTCCCCTTCAGCCCTCATCACTCAGGAATCTACTTTCCAGCTTCCCCTTGGCAGGAAATTGAGCAGATCCCCCAAGGCCTGATGGGACTACAGAGCTTCGAAACTGAGGCATCTTAAGCAGGAAAATTGTTCTTGACTTTGCATAGTTTTTTTTTTTTTTAAGTTTCTTTCAATGGTGGTTATAAATAGTTATGGACCTGTCAAATCCACATCAATGCTTCAGCTCTTTGAAAGGACTCAGACGGGAAAAGCTATTTTAAGTGGGAGAAACTTTGATGGCCATCTCTCTCTCCTCTGCCTGTGATGATGCCACTTTGATCTTCTAGCTCAGTCAGCCTGGTTTGAGCCCTCAGAAGCCCACGACTAAACACCCTGTTCCTATTACTTCCTTATTTGATATTTTAATTGAACGAGCGCCATCGTTTCCTGGCCAATATTCCCCATCTGCTGCTTCTCCATTTTTTTTCCCCATCGGAGCACCTGAGGCAACACCCCTTCCTGGAACGAGATCTGCTCTCTCTGGCTTCCTCTGGAATCGACTCTGTTTCCTGAAGCCAGAGCCATCCGCCTGCTGGAAACAAATCTGCCCTCGAGGTGTCCCTCTGGAGGTCACCATCTGGGTTCTGAACTACCCTGAGGGAGTGGGAGATGGCAGTGCTCAGCAGCTGCCTCTGTGGGTTCCAAGCCAGCCTCTGCACAACGGCGGCCTTTGGAAAAGGCCGCTTTGATTTGAATAACAGCCAGTGCAGGAGCCATCAAATAATGACTTAGTTAAACAAACTGGCCCCATCGTGCAGAGAGAAACCTGGAAGAAGAAGCAAGGGCACAGTGAGGCAAAAAAGAGGAGGGGGCTAGAGAGATGCCTCGGGAGTTAGGACCATGTACTACTCTTGGAGGGGACCTGCCTTCAGTTCCCGACACCCACACGGGGCACATACATGCAGGCAGGCAAAATGGTTATACACACCAAATATAAATAAATAGATCATTTAAAAAAAAAAGAAAAAAAAGAACTCAACACTTATAAGTCCCCAGACAGGAAGAAAGACAGATGTGCCCTGAGTTGTAGCCTTCCCCGAAATTTATAGGTTAAGTATTCAGAATAAATAGTCAGAAAACACGCTTCTACTCTGTACCAGGTGCCCACAGTGATGGAGAAGGTCCATCCCACACCCCCAGACCAGCCTCACCTCACACAAGGCTGTCAGTGCTATTTATTTCCATCCTTGTTGCTCAAGTCACTTAGGGAAGAAAGGGTTTAATTGGGTTTGCCGTCTGAGGACCACCACAGTGCGGAGGTCAGGACGGCAGCAGCTTCGGACAGCCGGTCACATCGCATCTGCACTCAGGAAGCAGAGGGCAGAGAACACTGTTGCTCGGCCCACTTCATTCAGTCCGGGCTCCACTCATGCGATGATGGGCCTTCCCACCTCAGAGAACTTCATCTAGATCTAATGTCACAGGCATTAACAGATCCTGTCCTTGACAATTCAAGATTAACCATTGAACTGTCCAACAGGATGATAGAAGAAGTCATGGTGATCTCTTGGGGTCTATTTATTTTATTTAATGTGCAAGTGTGTGTGTGTGTGTGTGTGTGTGTGTGTGTGTGTGTGTGTGTGCGCGCGCACACACACGCATGTGCATGTGTGTATTCATGCCTGTATGTGTGTGTACACAAGTATGTATGTGTGCGATCCTGTGTGTGCATGCAATTATGTGTGTGCATGCATGTATGTGCATGTGTGTGTGCATACACACTGCTATACACATGCAACAGTGCACACATGGAGAACAGAGAACAACGTTTTGTGAGTCAGTTGTTTCCTCCCACCTTGTTTTGAGGCAGAGTCTCTCTTAAATCTGTCACTGTGCTATGTTCATGAGCTTCCAGCCAGTCCTCCCGCCTCTGCCTCCCGTCCTGCCCTGCGAGGGCTGGGATGACGAATGGAAGCCACCAAGTCTAGCTTTTTAAGTGGGTTCCAGGGATGAAAGTCTGGTCTTCGGGACCACATATCAAGCACTTCACTGATACATCTTCCCAGGCTTCATGGTGGTAAATTAAGAGTTCTTAGACACACCTAGATGAGTGAAAAGAAGCAAGTCCCAACTATTGAACAGTGTTTTCTTTAACCCCCAATACTATGCTTTTGTGTTACCAAGTGAATGGGGGCCTGGGACAGCACCTGACACCTGGCTGGCTGTCACCGTCTATCACAGCAGGCATGGATGCATGGGTCTGCCCTAGGAACCATGCTTAGCAGAGAGACTCCAACACAACACACAGGACTTCCCAGCCAAGGAGTAAGATGTATGCAAAACTCAGTGCTAGGGGGCTGGAGAGATGGCTCAGCGGTTAAGAGCACTGGCTGCTCTTCCAGAGGACCCTGGGTTCAAGTCCCAGCACCCACATGGTGGCTCACAACCATCTGTAATGAGATCTAGTGCCCTCTTCCGGCCTGCAGTCATACATGCTGTATACATCATAAATAAATAAATCTTTAAAAAAAAAAACTCAGCGCTAAGAAAATTTAGCTGAGGAGATTAGTCCTGTTTCAAAAGGAAAGGATGTTGGGAAAACCCCAACTATAAGCCAGCTAATGAGTATACAAGCAAAATGTGGTCTATCGGTGGACTATTAGTCAGCTCTCAAAAGGAGTGAAGTTCTTATTTGTGCTACAGTGTCAAAGGCATAATTGAAAGCACTATGCTAAATGAAATGAGTTGGTGATAAAAGGCCATGTATCCCTCGATTCCGCTCACATAAAATGTCTAGAAGTGTCCAAGCCAGATACAGAACGTAGAAGTATGGAGTATGGACCAGGTGTGGCTGGGAATAAGTACGTGGTTTCTCTGGGAGTTAGGTGACAAAATGTTCTAGAATTAGATTGCCGTGGTGGTTGCCCATCTCTGTGACTATGAAGTTTAGTAATCAATGGACTATACTCTGTAAGAGATCATAAACCCTTTCCTCCCCGAGTCACTTCTGGTCATGGTGTTTATCTCAGCAACAGAAGCCAACGAGGACAGTCACCCTGCCCACAGCAGCCAACACAGAAGGTCCTGAGGAGTTCACACCAGAGATACCACCCACCCCTGAGAAGACAGAAAATGGAGACAGTCTAGACAGACCTGGGGAAAGGACTCAGAGCTGCCCGTGCCATCTTGCAGGAGGCACAAGCAGTTGAGTAACCAGCTAACAGGTCACTCAGCCCATGGCAAGTCAGAATTAGAATTGGGTCTTCATTCACATTGGGTCCCAAAGAAATCCCCTTTCTAATGTACTCAACCTGTCGGAGACAAAGCATGTCTTCCCTGTACGGACATGGCATCCACATAGAACATCTGTAGGTTTTCAATTATTGTGCACCACATATGCAGTTGGTGTTGGGCGGGATCCTGGGGTTGGAGAGAAAGAAATGAACGCTCTCAGAAGAGCCGCAGGAGGTGACTGCAGTGCTGTGGAATGGGCACTGGGATGGAGCAGCTGCCATAAGCCCAAAATAAAACAACATCACTCAGCCCAGGACCATGAGGAAGAGGAGAGGGACCCCGGTAAAGGGAAGCTCCATACCAGGAGAGACTCTGAAAATGGGAGTTAAAAGGCAATAGAATGGAGACTGGCAAGACTCAAAACAGCAGAGACAGCTCCCTGCTCTCAAGTCCTGGGTAAAACTGGCATGCCTCTCATCCTAGCCCATTGGAGGCTGGGGCAGGAGGATCATGAGTGACCAGTCTAGACTACATAGTGAAAACCTCCCTGAAAGAGAAAAGTCTAAATAACCCAGCTGCCTATGAGATGGTGAGTGAGAGCCAGCCTCAGCCTCTGCATCTAGCATGAAAGATAATCATTCACCTTGTGGTGCTCAGCTTAACGGCTAGGTCACATAAAGGGCTCAATAAAGCCTCAGTAATAATTGCTATGGAAAGGCTTTAGAAGACTCATTGTACGGTAATGCTATTCGTATGACACCTGTTGTCAGAAGAGCCACTTCCCTGTTGCCGTCACAGCCATGGTGATGTCGTGAACACAGCATTCTTCTAAATATTTATCACAGTTTGAAAACGCGCCCAGAACAGTCACTGTCTGCTCTCCAGATAGAATGAGAGGTCCACAGGGGAGGGGCCTGTTGTGGTGATGCTCAGGTACCTAGAGCTGATGCTGACACATGGCTAAAGGTTCAATAGGATCTGAAGAGGTGGCTCCCCTGAGAAAGTCTGGCAAGCATGGGGACCTGAGTTGGATTCCCAGCATCTATGAGGAAAAAAAGAAATCTGAGGGTGGAGGCATAGTCCTGTGATCCAGCAATGGGGAGGTGGAGACAGGGGAGTCCCTGAGGCTCTCTGGCCAGCCAGGCACACATGCATGCATGCACACGTGTGTGTGCTCACACACACACACACACACACACACACACACACACACCACAAATAATGATTGGCTGAACAATGGTTCTGCTTCTAATAATCTATAGAAACAGCCCTGGGTGCTGCAATGAAGGCACTGAAGTAGAGAAAGGCCTCCCATCCTGCAGTGCAGCCCTCAAACATTTTAGGCAGAAAGCCAGAGGCCAAGGCCAGTGAGGAGAGACTACTGCACATATGCTGTAAAGGAGCCTGAGCTGGAGAGTAGTTATCAGACTGAGAAGGTTTTCAGAAGGCTGGTGAGGGGAGTGAGTGGATAAACAGGTGAGTGGGTGGGTGGGTGGGTGGGTGGGTGGGTGGGTGG